CACACACACACACACACAAATTATTCAGTGTGAGAATAGCAGACTGTACGGCAGTGCAGAAAGAATTATTAATCCTAATTGTTATTCATATAATTTTTCCAAAATTAAATATGTGTCATAACCATAGGGAATTCTTCATTAAACAGTAAATGCATAGCATTGGAGTGAACACAAAAATGGTCAGTTCAGTTCAGATACAGGTGACAATGAAGAATGACACCATGTTAAACATCAAAAGAGATAAATATATGCATAAAATAACGATAGACATCATTTACACGATTCTCCAGTTTTTTAGTAGATTTGCCTGCAGTTGCCATGAGAGAAAGTGTGCTCCGAGTCCTTTTTTGCAACATTTGTTTTCTCAGTTCATTTTTATCCTGGATAGAAGCAGAAATGCCTGCTCTCTGTTATAGCTACCCACAGGCAGAATCAGCAACGACTGCAGCACAACAGTAATATTTGAAAACATTTATTGCAGTCTGTAGTTTAGAATTATCTTGAGTAATCCAGCTGGGGTTTTATTATCTCCAGGCTTGATGAATGATCTAAACTGAATTAGCTGATCACCCAAGGTGTGATGTAGGTCAGATGGATGTGCAGCCTACAAAATGTTGTAAGAACAGTGAGCTTGTCAACTGTGAAACACTGGTATACTACAAAGCTGGCCCATTAATGATTTCAGTCTCATCTGGCTCTGTTTTATTAGGGAATAGCTGTTCATAGTTTATATTTGTATGTTTCACATTAGCAAGTCAATGAGAGTTAAGTAGTCTGATCCTGAATGATAGTTAATCCTACTTACGGGTACAAATAAAGGAACCTAAACCTCCATCCCTTTATCTCCCATGGTAGACTTGCTAGACTCAGCAGCTGTCGCTGTTTTTATAGAAGCTATATTATATTATATAATATATAATATCACATTTTTCATACTTACCGAAGGCTTTTGGGTCCTGGTTTGTTTTTGAACTCATGGCAATGTTTGATTGTTGATTATCAGATCAGAGGTGCGATCCTTGTGTGGCTAAAGTACAAAGAAAGACTGTCACTGTTAACTAATGCTGTCATTATAATCAAAGCTGATTTCATTAGTATTAAAAAGCCTTACATCTACTCACCAGCCACTTCATTACACTTCATTTGTTACACCTGTTCAACTGCTTGTTAATGGAAATATCTAATCAGCCAATCACATAGCAGGAAGCCAGTGCATTTAGGTATGTTGAAATGGTCAAGACAACCAAGTGAAGTTCAAACTAAGCATCAGAATGGGGGGAAAAAGGGTGACTGGAGTGACTTTGAATATGGCACGATTGTTGGTACTAGACACGCTGGTCTGAGTGTTTCAGAAATTATTTACAGAGAATGGTTCAAAAAAGAGAAAAGTGACCTTCGGTTTTCTTGGTGAAAATGCCTTTTGATGCCAGAGGTCAGAGGAGAATGGCCAGAGTGTTTCAAACAATTGAACATTGTATAAAAACACCCCATCCTTGCTGAGTATTGTCACTGAGCAAATCCAGCCATTTATGGCCACTGTGTACACATCTTTTGGAAGCTACTTCTAGCCAGGTGTCGTGTCACAAAGCTTAAATTATTTCAAACTGGTTTCTTAAACATGACAATGAGTTCACTGTACTTAAATAGCTTCCACAGTCACCATATCTCAATCCAGCAGAGCAGGTTTAGGATGTGCTGGAATGGGAGATTTGCACCAACTCTGTGATACTATCGTGTCAACATGAGCCAAACTCAGTTCTAGCAAGATGTAACTAATGATGTAATGGGTGAGTGGATGTTATGTTTTATGCATTTTATACAAATTTAGCCTTGAATAATAATGAAAGAAAATTGCTGCATGTTGACATGATAAAAAAGGTCCAGTTTTCAGTACTCATACTTCATATTGTCCATATATGACCAAATTCATCCTTTATGTATTTTATTATGTTTCCCTTATATCTACATAATCAGCAGTTTGCAGGAAACTTGAACAACGTTTGTTTTTTTTTATCAGTTATTTGTTTATCTATTTATTTTTTGCAGGTAAGTAGTTTCTTTAGCTGAGATTATTAAATACATTTCATAAAGGAAACATCTAGAAGAAAATATATTATTTCTTTACTGCAGCAAAAATTATGAGGAGTCTTAATTTTTTTTTTTCTTTTGCAGTCAGTTATAGTCAGTCTCACTTAACCATTCTTTTCTAGTAGCTGTTAGTGTTGAAAGAATCAAGGGCACCTAGAAACAGAGCCATGGGCAACTAGAGTTTGAGAAATCCTGCCTTCAAGCATCTTCTCATGTATCATTAAACTGGGAATTCCTTGACTTCCTTGACTTCCTTGACTTCCTTGACGCGTGACTTGTGCAGACAGTTGGAGACATGCTGGGACACTGTAAATGGGGAATGTGAAATCCCACCTAGTGACTCACTCCACCCAACTGCCCGTGGAGTCAGGTGGCTGTGCCAACAATTTAACTGCTCAGGATCCAAACATAGAAGAGAGCTCAGTGTGTTTATATCAAAGTGATAAGGCGATGAAGTAACCTGTATATCTTTTTTTTTATGCCATCAATGCTTAAAACTGCTCTTTAGCTTTATAATACTCCTTAGAGATATCTCTATGTAGGCTCTTAGTCATCCAGGTCATAATAGCATCAAAAGAAGATGACTGCACTTCGTTAAGTCTAATTTAAAAATAAACTTCAGGTTCAGTACACTGAACTTTTCTTAAGTGAAAAGTGGAACCTTAAATAACAGTGGATAGTAAACCAAAGATATGTTTCGTATAGGTTATTTTTAATCTTTAAGTTAGTTCAGTAATTATTTTAATGGCTATAGAGCTGAGAGGCTTTTAATTAGAACAAAATGGACCTTATATCAAGATTATGGCCATAAGGCTTTTTTATGCAGTGTTTTATTTTTAGGACCATAAAAGAGACACTGAAAATGTGAAAAAAAAGCATATCTGACCTTCATCTACAACCCAGAAAAAAAGCTTAAGCTTTGATGTGTCACAGTGTCTGTAGTTCAGACCTAGTTTATAGGTTCAGTCTTTTGTAAGTCATGGGAAGCCAAATGGGAAAGTCACACAGTTAAATGTCATTCATTGTTGAGATCTTAAATGTTTGGACTGATCTCAAAAGGTCAATTAATGTTTCTCCTTTTCATAGAATTGTTGTAGAAATTGATTTTTTGACTGTATTGCATTAAAGGTTGTACTACCACACAAGAAGATAACATTGCAGAAAGATATCACTTTGATATAGCAATTTTGGTAATATACAACCAAGTCATAAAATCTCCAGGATCTTTGTCTTCTGTTTTTCTGTTTTCAGTATTATTTGACTTCTATAGCAACTGAAAATGTCTTGATGATTTTCTTTATTAAATTATGTTTGGGAAATTATTATAGGTGTAAATTTACAGGATACTCATTTACTAGAACTAGACTGCACTTTCAGTCCTAATATAGGTCTTATCAAATAATACCTTTTTGGTGTGCCATTGTTATAAAATAGCACTAAAAGTCTTGCCGAATTTGCTTGGTTGTCAAAAGCACTGCATAAGAATTTCAGTCAAACCTCATGTTTAAAATATTAGTTTAGCAGTTCTTTTGGGACACTCATTAAAATTACTAACACACATTTTTTCTAATAACATAAGTTGTACTCACTTTTTGTTTTTTGTCGTCTCTGATCAGTTATCCGCCTTCAACTTGTGCTCTTCTCACTACCCAATATTTCAAAGGGGACACTCCTTTTTGTTCGGTGATAAACGTTTGGAGCACATAGAAACCCTTACATGGATAGTTGGTAAAAATCCATATTACAACGCTGGTAAAGGCTCGAGGCTCATCTTACGCATCTCTATGAAAGCGATCACTTTGCAGTTGTCACTGGAAATACATTATGACTGTTCATTCAATCTGGCATTGGAGATTCTGAGTCAACACTTTTGAAACATTACTGTTGAGAACATAAAAATCCCATCAGCACTGTATATTAATATGAAGATTTAAATTGCACCAGATTCAAATAAAACTAAGATGGATTCCAGCATATTCTCATTAATTACAATTACATTAGGAATGGTTATTACCATACTCCATGGTTCAAGGTTCAGACTTATAATGCCTATAATTTCATTTTATAGGCAAACTATCTAACTTAAAGGTTTTGACTGGCAGCTTCACGAGGTCTATAGTAATATGATCACTGTACTATGGACTTTATTGGTCAATAAACATTAACATGAGACATTTTATTTGGTAAAATAATCTCTAATTGAAATGAACAGATTGACTGTTCCAATAGGCCGCTAAATGTATCAGCAGAAATTCTCACAGCATGCCTTTGGTATTTGGGAGGTCACACTGTGTCTGCTTTGGCATTATAGAAAGGTGGTTGCTCGTGGTGTTGGTGGTATGTTGGACTCTGTGTACTGAGCAGTGGTTAGCAGTCAGAGGTTAAACAAGCATGGCATATCAGCGCAGTTAGAATAGTTACTCTGACCTTTTTAAAGTAAATGACTCAACTGCAAGAAAACTCTGATGACATCAGGAATATCACCACTGAGCTGACAATGGAAGGAAATGCGGTAAGGACTTTTACATAATCTAGTAGACATTTACACAATTTCCTTAGGGATTAATACAGTATTCTGATTGTGAGACTGTGTTAATATAAGATCATTGCTGCATTATTTTACTCTATTCAGTAACTATACACTGCTAAATGAACAGGTTAGATCTAGTACAGTAACTATTCTGATTGTCAACATGGACTTCTTTCATAGTAGCTTTACAACACTAGATAAAATGCAAATCGATGTCTTTTTATTTAGATCTACATGAATAAGTATGTAAAGGAAATGGATATGTGGGAATGATAATAAAATGCACACTTGGATCATAAGTGCTTGATGTAGAACTGTGACGTGCATATTGTCATGGGCTCATAAATTGGAGCCATGTGGTGCTTGAAACCCATGCAATGCTTTGTATCAGTGAAAAATAGAAAAAGTTCTCAATAAAACAAGAATAAGTGAGAAGGCAGAACACTGAGTACACATCAGTTTGTTGATTTATTGCGGTTACAATTTGACAGATGTTTTTATACTGAAGATTGCCACTTCACTCATTTTAATAGTTATTATTACCAGTGACAGGGTAACAATTGTAGATATTGCACTTCAGACACATCAAATGAGTTTGCATTAAAGCTCTTTTTTTTTCTTCCCACACTTTGTATTGAAAGTATACTATTTCTGTTATATAGCAAACCAAAAAATTCATTTTATTTCTGTATTTTCCACAGGATCTCAGTAAGAAGAAAAGCTCCACAAAGGTTTGTTGCCAATTAATCTGTTCAGAAAAAAAGCAAAACAATTATAAGAATAAACCCTTCATCACAAACTACAAAAATATAATAATAATCTTAAATAAAGCTTACCTCTGACAAAAATTTTAGCGGAACACTCTGCCTTGCCAAAAGAGTTAACTGCGACTACCTTATATTCCCCACTGTCCTTTGGCCGAACTCGGAGAATATACAGGGAGCAGACACCAAAAGAGTTGGTGATGTAGTAATTATTGTCTGAGTTGATGCAGGTGTCATTCAGGTACCAGGATACAGTTGGGGTGGGATATCCTCTAACGGCACATGTCATAAAGAGTTGGTAACCTTTAGGTGGTGTGTGGACTTTCAGAGGGACCAAGATAGATGGAGGTCTCTCAAAGGAGACCTCTGTGGAAATAATTCCATTTGAAGTTACTGGAACTTAAAGAGAAGGAGCGTTCAAAGTTAGTATTTAAAGTCAGATTTTAATAATGTCAATAAAGGTCCAAGAATATTTGCAAAATTCCTTCGTACTAATCATATTTCAAATAGCAGCATTATAACAGTTTTACATATCCAGTGCAACCCTGAACTTTTCTTGATATGTGGTAGAGCTCAATGTGAGAATACATATCCTGTCAGCTCCCTAATGCAGTCTGTGCCTGTTTGTCTGGGAAATGTCAGTGTGAGCGAATGTAAGAATAATAATAATCATCTGGAGGATTTACAGTGACGCTGAAGAAGTTGTCATAGTATGGCGTTCCACACATGATGCAGCTAAACAAAGCCTTTATATTGTGTGCTAAATTTGAGAAAGGACAACATCATAACTGTGATGACTCTGCCCAGTCTGCCTGATGTGTGCTTTTGAGGTTGGCAGGGAATGAGGTAAGGTAGTTTCTGAGCAGGAGCGCAACTGTTGGCTAATTGTTTTAAAGTGCGTGGTAGCTATTGTTCTCTCTTGTCCCACCAGGTGAACATATGTTTTGCTTAAGTTTTATTTTGTTTTCTTTTTAAAGATGCAGGACTGTTTTAAAAATGTATATACTGTACTTTTAGTTCTTAATACAGTGTATTGTCCACTTTTAACTTGCAGTCTTTTATAATATGTTGGCCTGGGTTAGCCAGGCAGGTTTTTAAATACACGAGGAAAACCTCAGAATCATTCTAACAGTTTGATTGTTCTTGATTGCTCAAATTATGGTACCTCTTACATTTTTATTATTAATGTAGGGTGTGCCTACAGTGATGACAACAGATTTTAAATGACACAAAATGTATTTCATGAAAATGTTTGTTTTCTGACAAATTAGCTGTTATGGTCACTGGAAAGCACCTAAATTATCAAACTAATACACCCTATAGTTTAGTTCACTGTTATGGCATAATCAAAATAACTAACCCACCTTTATTGATGTTGGTGCCCCATGTAGGTGACGGAGATGGATCGGACAGTCCCATATCATTCTTGGCATAGATTCGAAAATGGTACTCTGTCCCAGGAAGGATGTTGCTAGCTGTGTATGTGTTAGTGAATAGACGGTCTGCTATAGTTTTCCAAACTCTGTTGAGGGAGTCACGTTGAGAAACCATGTAGTACAGGCGGTCATCAAGCTCCTGGTCTGGTGAGGGAGCCCATGATATCACTAGCTTTCCATGTACTGTTTGCTCTAGTTCCACAGGCCCTGGAACCTTGGGTTCATCTAGCAAAAAACAGAATAAGTTACAGAAAGTGGGATAATTATTTTGCTAATACTCTGGTTCAGTTCGGCAAATTGAATAACAATATAGTCTATTATATATTTCACAAAGTTCAGAAACTAGTAGTGATACAACCTGTTTTACATTAATCATAGGCTGATATCTATGTCCTTACCTGTGACTCTAAGGTCAATGTCAAATGAAGCCTCACCCACAGAGTTTTTGGCTTTAATAGTGTAGATGGCTGAATCCGAGCGCTTTGAATTGGGAATAACAAGCTGAGATGTTCCCTCTGTATTTATGATATTAATCCACGCAGATATTTTCTCGTCATCCTTCAGCCAAGTGATCTGAGGTGGAGGTTCAGCCTGAAGATATCAATATCAGATAAATTACCTTAAATGTGAGGCAAATCCTCCCTTGTCATGCTGTGGTGAACTTACAACTCAAAAAATATGACAAGGGAAGTAAATGCAGAAAATACTGGCATGACAGATTTAAGAGTTATTAAGGGATGAAAAAATACTTGGAAACCTGATTTTAGGTTCATTCATACCTCAAAGCAAATTTTGATACGAGCAGAATTTCCTGCTCTGACAACAATGAAGTCCTCTGGATCCTTAAAGCAAGGTCTCACTGGATATAAAACACATAAAACATTCAAATTAATGCAGGAAAAAAAAATCACTGCTCTGGATAACTAAGGTAATCATTTATATTCACACTGAAGCATGTCAAGACTTACTGTTGGGATTCTTTGCACACACCATCGCAGATGGAGGGCTTGGATCTCCAGATCCTGACTCATTGATTGCTGTAACCCTGAACTCGTACTCTGAACCCTCAGTGATATCTTTGACTGCGTACTTTATGTCTGGAAAAATATGATTAATGTCAAGATAAAAGAGTCAATTTTCTTTAATGAAAGGTGCTAATTGTTCTTTAGGAGTAGAAATTATTTTTGTTTTACAAACCTTCAATAGGTTCATTAACTGCATTTAGGGGAATCCACTGATTTGTGTCCTTCTTCTGTTTCTCTACTTGGTACCCAATGATCGGCACTCCTTTATCATCCTCTGGAGGGGTCCAGGTCAAGTTGATACAGGTTTTTGAGGCACTTACCACTTTAGGAGCACCAGGAGGGCCGGCGAGTACTATAAAATAGTGAGAAGTCTAATTAATTAAATACTCTCATCATTAATAATTAGGACATACTTAAATTAATCAAAGACATTTGCAAGCAGTTTCTCTTAAAGAGAGCATAAATTCCAGCAATGATAAAATGTTAGACTGCTATAGTAGCTGCAGTGATAAAGTATTTAACGCAATCACAAAAGCTACATGAAAGCATTTTCATTTGGATTTGCCGAGAAACACTAAACACGACTTCATTTTTCTACACTCACTCATTATGCCAGCCATTATGCTTTCAGCTGTCTCCAGGGCATCACTAATACCCTCAGGGTTTTCTGCATAGATGCGATAGTTGTATTTCTTTCCATGTGTCACATTCCTGTCCCTGAAGGAGGTCTTGTCTGCTGAGACGTCTCCAAGTTTTGTCCACAGACTCTGTCCTGTCTGCTGCCGTTCTATAATGTAGTTGGTTACAGCAGAGCCGCCGTCGTCTTTGGGAGGGTTCCATTTAATCTCAATTATTGATGAGGTAGTTTCAACAGTCTTCACTGGACCCTCTGGTGGACCGGGTCGATCTAG